GTTTTTTTTGGGTTGTTCAGTTTGGTGGGTAGTGGTATTGCTCTTTGTGGTTGATTGACTGGCATTTGAAATGGGTGGATCCAGAGGTTTTAAAATTGGGAGTGGGGTTTGGGTTGTTTGGATTGTATTTGTTGATGGGTTATCGGGACATGACTGGGTGTTTTTGTCTGTCTTCTTTTGGAAAATGGTGACTGTTTTGGCTTTGGGATTTTTGGGAATATTCCGGCCATGGCTTGAGTTTTCCTGCAACTGGTTAGGTTCTTGAACTTGCTTGTTTTTCAGCATTTTGCATTCTCCAGTGTGTCTAGATATGCCCTTGCATGTGTGACAGTAAGTGGGAACTTCTTCATAAGTAGCTTCCAGGGACAGTTGCTGAGATCCATTTTGAATGTAGAATTTTGTAATTTGTGGTTGAGAGATGTCAACCTCAACACAAATTCTGGCCAATGAAGGTCTGCCAAAATTCTGTGTAGTAGCATCAAGCTTGATAGGTTTACCAAAGACTTGGCCAATTCTAAGAAGGGAGTCTGAAGAGTGTAGGTGAATAGGTAAGTCTTTGATTCCTATCCAAACTGGCATAATGGGGGATTCAAAATTGGGATCAAAAGTTGGTGTCCATTTGGATATCAACATTTTAAAGGGGCCTAAAACCCACTCCCTTCTTTTGAAGCATCTGTGGTATTCCTCTTGGGAGGAGAAGTTAAGAAGGATGTGTGTAGAATCAATGAGAGTAACAGAAAAAGCTGAAAAGCCAATTCTCTCTAAATTATGTCTCACATAATCTAGACTTGGTCTTCCAAAGAAGAAAGATCCTACCAGTGCCTTAGAAAATCTTGAGGCCAGTAGGTTCACTTCTTCATCAGAGAAGGACACACAAGGCAGTCCTTTGAGTTTTTCAATAGGTTTGATGGGGATGGTGGGAATTGGTACCTCTTGTGAAGAAGCAATAATAGCTGCAGCGTAGCTTTTCCTTTGTGGCAGGTTGTTGCTTGCTTGTGTGGAGGGGGGCTGCTTGGACCAGGGATTCCTTGCTTCGGTGTGCTTCTTAGTGTGAGGATTGTTTGCTGCTGAAGTTGTGGCTGTTGAAGTTTTAGTGGAAGGATGACCGGCATGCTGAGGATGGCCGGAGTTACCACCTGAGGAGGTCGCCGGCATGCTTTATATATATATATATATATATATATATATATATATATATATATATATATAATGTATAAGTATCTTAGATATACAATTTATATTTAGTGGTACTTAATGAAGATATGTATATCGCGAAAATTGGTACGCGTACGGTTAAATTTCAAATACCTCTATTATTTTCTTCGTTGCTGTCGTTTATTTCACCATCAGATGTACAAAGTACCGAAGAGAAGCTGGAGGAGTAAAGAGCTTGTCTAAATGGGAACATTGGCTTTATTGAACTGGGTGAAGCTAAAAACAATATATATATATGTAGTTGTACCAGTAATGTTCTAAAAATTATGTAATAAATAATAAATTTAAAACATAAGTGACTAACCATTTGTTAAATCACTTAAAGGAGAATGGGAAGAATCACTTATTCGGTCCCGATCTAATGTACAAATCCTCTTTCGACTTCTCTCTTCTAAGATAGCTATTATTGACATACAAAGCATAAATGTAATGTAAATTATTATGTATAGAAAGATTAAAAATATTTAAAATTGAGTGATGTTTTAAAAATTATTACTAAGAAAATGATATGTTGATTATGATCGTAACCTGTAGATGTTTTATGAAATTCTTGAGATGGCCTGAAATCAACATATTCCATTGCACAGTCTTGAGTAAATTCAGATTTTGTGTTAATTTGGTTTGCGATGTAGTGAACATTTTCTGTTTAAAATTATTAGTAGTCCATGCTCTTTACATCATAACAATTTATTATGTAATATTAACATTTACATCTACATTTTGGATTCTAACGATTTACAAATTTTGATCTTTGTTTTGGAAAAATATAATACTCGGTATTGCTTTATCAAGAATAATTTAGAGTATGGATTAATAAATAAATTAGAAAAGTTCAAAAATAGTAGAGAGTTATAAAAAATATTAGTGCCGTTTCGCAGAAATAAATATTGTGCCATTTCAAAATTGAATTTTCAAAAATAATTGATAGTTACGATTAAGAAAGAAATTACTATTAAAAAAATTCTAGTGGGTTGTAAAAGTTATTAGTGCCATTTTGAAAAAAATAGTATGTCAATTATAATTTTTTTAATTATTATTTTGGGGAAAACATGTATTGAATTGCAGTCATTGCATGGTCTTTGTGATGCCATTTTGTTCGGCCTTTTCTGATTGTAATAGAAGCATGGGTCAGATTTTATGTATTTGTGCCAAGTGTACCAAACCTGTAATAGCCACTGGATTGTTTAAAATTGGCGGAAAAAATGGAGCTGAAATTGAGCTTGGATTTCCATTCCGCTTATATATACTCCGGGGTATATACTAGCACGAGATGCACTACGTGCATAAGGTGCATTAGGTGCCCAAGGTATTGGAAGCAGAATACTCCGTATATACATTGTCAAATAATAACACTATGTCTACAAAAAAGAAGCAAAAGATAGCTTGTATCATCTTCTTATTTTATGCATTTTCTTTTATCTTTCAGCGTTAATTTAGTTTTATGCTTTTTAGGAGTTCCTTTTTGAGTACTTGTGTCATGCATAAACAAACTGATGGATACCCTGGACTATGGAGTAGATTTTGTGGCTTTCTATTAAGGATCATATATTAAATAACCATGAAAATAAAGCTTGGAGTGAGCCAATCCATTCCCCGACACTCTCAACAGAATGAGTAGTGCGCATCAACAAGCGTGCCACCTCATTTAAAGAACGAGATATAAAGGTAACTTTAAGATCTCCACATTTTTTCGCTTTTTATTTGATAGTCTTTCAAATAAAAACATATGAAGGCTTTTAGGCATAAAGCACAGTTACACAACTAAGGCTAACGCACCTTTCTTATTGGGAATGATATTGATCAACTCCTTTCTTATCCCTTTGCTAATTGAGAAAATTATACCATTTACTCCTGAACTATTTAGTAATTTACATGGCTTACCCCTGAATATTAAAAAAATGTGTTGTTTAAATCTTTGAAAATTACACGATTTACTCTAAATATTAAAAAAAATACCAAATACTTCTGAACAATTTAAAATATTGCAGCGTTAGTCCTAAAATAATAGATAAGGAGTGTGTTGCTCCCATGGATGGGAATTGCGAGTTTGTTTTATGTTTTGGAGTAAACCGTGCAATTTCTAAAAAATTCATAGGTATTGGTAAATTGTTTAATGTTTAAAAGTAAATTTTGCAATTTATGAAGAATTCGTGAGTAAAGAGTGCACTATTCTCTTTGCTAGTCTATTAACTTAGTGGTCCATCTCCACCTTTCTTATCTGCCTAATGATTAAGGACACTAGGCAGAAAATTATACTACCTCCGTCTCAGAGTATTTGTCCACTTTCATTTTTACACACCATCCAATGCACTTCTTTAATCCATTTTATCTTGTAATTTGTATATTAAAAAATTATAAAAATTATATATTAATAATCTATATGTTAAGACAAATCAAACAAGGTCACACATGATTATATTTAGGCTTACACATTGAGAGAATTTGACGAGTCAAAGTGTTTAGATGAACAGTTTCAAAAGTCAAAACTAGATGAATACTCCGGGACGGAGGGAGTACTATATTCAAATAGGCGCTCGTCTATTTTGAACACTCATAACTCTAACACAATGTAGTATCTGTTTATATATTCTCAACATATTAAAGTTCATAGAGTTAGCGCACTGAGAATCAAACATGTGACCTCTCATTTAGGATATCGAGCCAAAGCAGTGTCATTGACTACAAGATCTTTCATGTTGTGACAAACAAATGAATGAGATAGAACACTTAAAAAATTGAACAAACTTAAGAAAGATCATTCGGAAGATCTCAATTCATACAATCTAAAATCAAACACAACACTTAAATTTTAAATAGAACTAAATTTTTTCAAAAAAAAAAAAGAACAAACTACACATAATCCTAAATTTCCAAAAAAAAGACATCTAAATTTGAAATTTCCCCCCTTATCTCCTAAATATTACGGAGTATAAGCGTTCCGTTCTCCCCCGTCTATTTTCTAACGGCAGAACTGTTCACTCCTTCCTCCTCTCTTCTCACTATTCACCCTACTCTCGCACGAAGGACTAACGCTATTCGCCTCTTTCGCCGCCCACCGCCCCACGATGTCTCACGCTTCTTATCCCTCGCGTGTTATATACCTCCATCTCCTTCACTGTCTTCTTTCTATACGGCTTTCTACTTCATTTACCAGGTATGTTTTTTTCACGCATCTTCGTATCCTCATCCATCTGATTTCCGTCAAGGTGATTACACAGCCACTGCCGACTACAACTTCTGCTCTGAATTCCAAATTCTGCAAATTTCAAATTTTTTTCTTTTGGGTTATGTGATTGCCGAAGCTCTGCATCATTTTTTCCCAAATTCTGATTTCGAAAAAGGCTGCCCTCTTTGGGAATTCTTCCAATTACAAAGCTTTGTCTTCAATTTCACAGCTTTTTCTTTACTTCGAATTTCAGATTCATCAATTCTGGGATTATTCGAATTTCAGCTTTTTCTCCATTTATTTTGTTGTACTTCTTTTGTTTTCTCCCAATTTTCTAGAACTAAACATGGTGTTGGTAGACCTTAAGTATATCTGTTGGGGAAGCACGGAACAAAACACAACGGAAGCGTATAAAATCTTTTCCCCAAATTACCCAAATTAATGAGATGAATAACAAGCACAATATACTCCAAAAACAGCAGCACCACCACAAATAAATAGCAAGGGAAATAAAGTAAAGAACACACGATTTACGTGGAAACCCCAAATCGGGGAAAAAACCACGGCCGCTCAACAACGGCTCCCAAACTTCCACTAATCACCAAAAATCAAGTGGGTACAACAAGTTCTCCTCTCTAGTAAACACTAGAGGCATACACAATCATCAAGGAGCAACCTTGGAACAACAACAATCAACAGTTTACCATAAAATGGAATAAAAACTCCCAAAAACGCAGGTCTGAAAACGTAGCTAGAAAACAGCCTTCCGGGCATCAAAATGAGAATCTGACCGTTGGATTTGAAGAGGAGTATGTGAGGAACAACATACTAAAATTTGAGTACGATCCGACTTCGTTTGGCCTTCGATCTGGAGGTGAAAAATGGCTGCTGCACAGTGTGGCGAGAATTCCTTTTTCTCCTTCTTTCCTGCGTTAAGCTACTGCCTTCTCCTCCTCAAGTTGCTGCCTTATCTCTTTCTCTTTTTATTTTCTTTTAGTTAGTAGCCACACAAGATGGGCCACCAAAAAATATTTGGGCTAAAGCTTTACACACAAAAAAAAGCCCAAATATAAAAGATAGATGTAAAGTATTTGTCCAATTAAAATTGAACACTTCCTCCATGTAGGAGGGAAATTTCCCAACAAATCTCCCCCTCACTCCTACATGGAGTGAGCAAACAACCCAGCTTTCTCTCGACAAAACACGAGTTTCTCCTTTGGCAATGTCTTGGTCAACATATCCGAGCAATTCTCACTTGTGTGAATCTTCACAAGTTCAAAAGACTTGTCCTCCACGGCTTCTCGAATCCAATGATACCTTCTCTTAATGTGTTTGGTTCGAGAATGAAAGGCGGCATTCTTGGCAAGGTGGATGGCACTTTGAGAATCACAATGAAGAAGATAATTTTCTTGTTCCAAACCAAGCTCCTCAAGAAAATTCCTCAACCATAACAACTCCTTGCCTACCTCAACAGCTGCTATATACTCTGCCTCAGTAGTGGACAAAGCAACACACTTCTGCAATCTTGATTGCCATGAAACCGCAGCTCCAGCAAATGTCATTAAGTATCCCGAGGTAGACTTTGCAGTATCAACATCTCCAGACATATTTGCATCTGTGTACCCATCTAACACAGGCTGTCCAATACCAAAACATAAACAAACTCTGGAGGTACCTCTTAGATATCTGAGAATCCATTTCACAACTGCCCAGTGCTCTTTACCCGGATTCGACATATAGCAGCTAACAACCCCAACTGAATGTGCAATATCTGGCCTCGTACATACCATGGCATACATCAAACTACCCACGGCTGAAGCATAAGGAACCTTGTTCATCTCTTGCTTTTCTTTCTCACTTGTAGGGCAATGGTCCATACTCAACTTCATGTGGCCTGCAAGTGGAGAGCTCACGGGTTTAGCATTGCTCATGTTGAATCTACCAAGCACCTTCTCAATGTATCTCTCTTGGGATAGCCAAAGTTTCTTGTTCTTTCTATCCCGCATGATCCTCATGGCTAAAATCTCTTTAGCAGGGCCTAAGTCCTTCATTGCAAAGGATTTACTCAATGACTTCTTCAAGCTAGCAATCTTCTTGGTGTCCTGTCCAACAATCAACATATCATCTACATATAAAAGGTGAATAAGAAAGTCACCTTCGGAGTAATTCTTCACAAACACACAATGATCAGCGTGTGTTTTGTGGAAGCCATGATCAACCATAAAGGACTCAAACTTCTTATACCACTGCCGAGGTGCTTGCTTCAAACCATACAAACTTTTCTTCAAGCGGCAAACTAAGTTCTCCTTTCCCTTAACCTGAAAGCCCTCAGGTTGCTCCATGTAGATTTCTTTATCAAGGTCACCATGAAGAAATGCTGTCTTCACATCAAGTTGCTCAATCTCCAAGTCCATGCTAGCAGCTAAGCCAAGTATAACTCGAATAGAGGTCATCTTCACAACAGGAGAAAATATCTCATCAAAATCTATGCCCTTCTTCTGACTGAAACCCTTCACAACCAATCTTGCCTTGTACCTTGGTTGTGAGCTACTCTCATCACTCTTCAGTCTGTATACCCACTTGTTCTTGAGTGCTCTCTGGCTTTTAGGCAACTCTACAAGCTCATATGTGTGGTTCTCATGCAAGGACGTCATCTCATCTTGCATGGCATCGTACCACTTCTCGCGGTGCACATGTGACATAGCCTCATCATATGTCTCTGGCTCTCCTCCATCCGTGACTAACACAAAATCAGCCTCCGAAAGTCTTGTGGAAGGTTTTCTGACTCTGGTGGATCTTCTCAACTGAGGTGCTGGTGGTGGCTCTGAGTGTGGTTGTGACTCTGGAACACCGTCACCACCATCATCATGATTATCATCATCATGATGGTCATCTGTAGGAGACTCAACTGTATGATCATGCATATCTCCCCCATGATCTTGAGGGACTACAACAGGAGGAAGAGATGGAACTGGATCAACTGTGATGCATGGAGAAGGATTTGCCTGGATCAACAAATGCTTATAGGAGACATCTTTCCCTGACCAAACTCTCTGAGGAACATCACCTTCAAGAGGAACTGAAGGGGAAAGGTTAATCAGGTACACGGCAGTGAACATTGCCTCCGCCCAAAAGGACTTTGGCAGCTTAGCATGAGATAGCATACACCTGATTCTCTCTTCAATTGTTCTATTCATTCTTTCTGCAACTCCATTAAGCTGAGGTGTCTTTGGAACTGTCTTCTCAAGCTTGATGCCATGACTTTTGCAATAATTCTCAAATGGACCCCTGTACTCGCCACCATTGTCTGATCTGATACACTTGAGCTTTCTGCCACTTTCTCTTTCAACTCTGGCATGAAACTCCTTAAAAGCTTCAAGTACCTGATCTTTATGTTTCAAAACAAAAGCCCACACTTTTCTAGAAAAATCATCAATAAAAGTCACAAAATATTGTGCACCACGGTGTGATCTAGCATCCATAGAGCAAACATCAGTATGAACAAGATCTAAAGCATGCTTTCTTCTATGTGGG